AAGGAAAGTTCTTTAATTTTATCTCCACAAGGCGGCCCTGTTTATGGCATTTTCCATAGTATCGTCTATGTGTGGCCTAATCATCAGCACCTTCTACGGCCTAACTGATATGAGGCCTCTCAATGTGACCATGTTAATCCTCGGCGTGCTTGAGTTTGGTATTGGAATTGCAGCGTCTGTGTGCTGCTGCTTGATGAAGCCCTGCACATGCTGTTGTTGTATCTCTCCAGATGAGGTATTGTTGGTATAATAATTCAAAAAGCTTCTATTTTGTTTTGTTTGTACAAGTATTTATGAAAAAAGTCAACTCGCGTTCTCCTTATTAACCTACTCACTTGCCTTCCAGCCTGTCTACCTACAAACCTTCCCACCTACTATCTTATTTATCAACCAACATACCCACTCACCCATCAACCTGCCCTACATACCCATTGACCTTCTTACCAGTCTATCTACTTACCTTCCTATCTAGTTACCTACCAACCTTTCTGCCAATTTACTTATCTACCAAACCGCCTACTCACCCACTACTTACCTACCTACCGTTCTATCTACTTCCCTGTCTACCTACCAACCTGCCTATTTGTTCCCTAATTACCAGCATTAACTACCTACCTACTTACCAGCTAACCTCTTTCACAACCCACCTGCCCAACTTCTAACCCACCATCCAACCCTCCAACCTACCTTAGCAATAACTTACTTTACCTACCCTCATACCAACCTACATACTTACTTTCCAACTAGGAACCCACTTAACACTTCTTTCTTACTCACCAACCTGCCTTTAATGTTATATAGTTACTTAGCCAATTACTTACTTCTGTTACCTACCTGCCTACCTTCTTTTCTATGTTCGTATCAGGCCCCCCAATAACAGGCCTAGTTATGTATTCACCTGGTTGCCCATATAACTTCCCGTTAACCCCCTTCTTTCCTACTTACAACCTAGTAAATGATCTAGCAGTCAACAATAGCCACTATTTGACGCAAAAAGTACGGAAATTTGTCCGCGGACATTAACTGCTCTAAGGAGCGAACTGTCAGCTTCGAGGACCAGATAACAACCGAGAACAAATGTACCTACAAGGATATTATCGCGCAAAATATAGGCTATAGTATTAATCATCCCGCAAAGATTTTGCGACGTCCGTGTTAAAAAGTATGTTTACGAACAGCTTAGTGTAGGTAACTTGGGATGTTTTCTTTTGAGTGTTCTCTGGTACAAACTTCATTTGGGCATTAGATCAAACGCTGCGATTTAGACCAACAGGACGCGAGTAAAAATATTTGAGGGATCATACCTCCCTATATATATACTCTCTGCAGTCCTACTACATAACAAATTTACATACCTAACTTATCCCTCCCAATTATATACCAATGCACTATCATAAGACCTTTTTCTGCTTTTCAGAGCCATAATTTCTTTTCTTTTCTTTTTTCCATTCTTATTGTAAACTTTTAGAGACGACCTTTAATGCATCATCCAGGTGGTCAGCCCGTATTGGTTTCAAGGGAAACGAACTATGTTGTTGCAGTTCCTGTGATGTGATACTACGTGAGCCTACATATCGTCAATCCTTTCTTTCACCAAACTCGTCGTTTTCCTTGCATTTATAAATTGGCTCTTTGAGTTATGATATCAAAAACTGATATTCCAACTGAAATTTTGAAAGTAATTGAAGAATTTTGTTTGATTTATCATCTACGGGTTTATGTCGAATTGATTTGATGGCCTGCTCCCAGTTGGCTTGTTAGCTCAATTGGTAGAGCGCTGCACTAGTATCGCAGAGGTCAGTGGTTCGAATCCCGTACAGGCCTGAA